GAGAGCGGGAACGGTGACTTGCGCATGAATCAGATTATAGTGATAGTAAACCTGTGAGGAACTACCACACTCTCTCCTGCTCCCCAAGGGGGCACGGTGTCATGTTAGAGTCAAGAAGGCCGTAGGCAGGAGAGGGTGCAAATGACTGGCGAGACGTGAGCCTGCACCTAGTTGTGTCTCCACGCCCCCATGTGAGGCATTTGTTATGGGTGAGCATCGCCAATAACGTCCGCGATGCCCTGATCTGGCCTCCGTGTCGGTCCAGCGGATCTACCGCATGGTTAGTTGTAGGGGGCCAATTTTTTGCACACAGTACCCTAGACACTCACATCATCACTTGAAGTTCATGATCCGCCTCTCCTCGGCATTTCAGCCTTCCTCTTTATGATTCGAAAGCATTCAGCGTTTCGGCTAAATCTACGCCGTTATTTCAGCTCTGAAGTCACGGGAAGGTTAGAAAAGACGACGTGTAAGCACGTGGGGTCTAAGAATGTATTTGAGTGGCCAGTCCATCCGTTGCGCTCGGGAATGACCACCACCACCTGGGCAACAACAATTTGCGCGCGAATTCGGCTGTCGTGAGGACGACTCTCTGCCACGGCCTGCCTCTCTTTCTCTCCCCAGTCCTACAAATTTGCCTTGACGAGACAGTGTCCGGGGTTGCGCATAGCAGCCTAATATCGTAGCGAACGCCTCCGCTAGACCATACCGCCCGTAGCCCAGTCCACGCGTGCGCCGAGTGTGACTCAGCCTTGGCATGGCGACAGCGCAACGCAGATCGATAGTTTGGCCTTTGTTGATTGGCTGCAGGCGGACGTGACTCAGAGGTCCGATCACCGCTTTCACTGTCACTAAGGCTGATTCTTCGTGTGGTTGGACCATTACTGCCGCTAACCTCAGAGCATATTTTACACTCCATCACAGTACGGAATGCCCTGCGACTTCTGTATCCATGACTTCCAATTTGGGGAATCCGCGACCATCGGCTATCGTAGTCCAGCAGATTGCTTACTTCTAATGAATACAAACCTTCCTAATTTCCAATGTTTGACATGGTCAGACAGTTACTATGGTAATGCAACACATTTTGTCATCCGCTTCTGTCTCTTTCTTGGCTACACAACTCATTTTGGTGACTTGCGGTCAGATGTAGATGAAGATGTACGACTTCGTCAAGCCTTTACCTGCCAGCATCACTTCCCCTCAGCTTCTCCGCTGTATGCTCTATTGTACTTGGTCACAGATGGCAGAGATAGGCCAATAGACGACATCCCTCACAAGCAACATCCCATTTATCCCAGAGCTCACCCAGGCGACCTCCGCAGCAAGTCCAACAACACAGAAATTATTTACTACCGTCATGCAGCCTTTGGTTCCAAGTCTGGTCGCCGCAAGACTTCCTTCTCTTTCATTACCAAGGAAGACGAATTGGGGAGACGGAACTTCCCAAAGTTCAGTGAAAAAGTCACCCTGATCCGCAGCTCAGTTTGCTATCCGGTGATTAAGAGAGTTCGCCACCATTTGAAGAACCACCTACAGGTTGTCGATGATCCGGCGAACTGGGATGAGAACCTTCCAGCAAACGAAACTGCTTTAAAGAATGTGTAGCGGCTAGGGTGGTGGTTATACCTTGAACGTCACCGTCACCAGACCAAGTCTCGAGTAGCAGGATAAGAGGACACCAAAATGAGGGGTTAACTGCGTACAGCACCAGTTTGCTCTCTTTCGGGACAGTATTCGCTGGCAGGGCCAACTGCCACTTACCACGCAAGTGGGAAGTGTGCGTCTCGACCCCTTCACTATGCATCTTCCCTGCTGCATGTGTGATCGGAGTCGAGCGCCGTGGCTCAAAAGGCAGTCGACTGACACCCCAACACAGTCCACTCAGTCTGCCCAGTTGTATGTGTTGTGTGGATTGGCGGACTTGGGCTGAGAGCCAGGCTGTCACGGCTCCTTCTCAAGCGATCTGTGACACACTCGTGCATGTGAGGAGAGTGTTTGTGTTTGTGTGTGTGCCTAATGGGTTGCACCTCTCAGTCGACGACTGTTTGGTTACCCAACCTTGAAGGGTTACGGCCCAGACCAAATGCAGGGCCACGTGCCGCCCTTCTAGGCCAAAAGGTCTGAAAGCGTGCGCTATGTCAGTATCGGTAAACCATGGCGCTGGCAGTTCCCTGACACCTGGTTCCCTACCGGTAGATGCGCATGCGCTCCCGCTGTGTATACAGGTGGTGAGCATGGCTGCCCAGTCGTCCTCTGCCTTCTGACCCCTGTTGGGGTGTTGTTGTTGGTAGTGAAAAATCCCGTCCAAGTGTATGTTGTGGACCAGGAGATGTGGTGGCACGCCTAGGTGAGAGTCCGATCGTGCCAGCCACATGCGTTCCCCCCGCTTCCGGTCGTCTAGACTCTGTCTTGACACCGGCCCCAAGTGGAGAAGGAGGGGGAGGGAGTGCGGTAAATGCTGCGCAACTCTACTATCACTATAAACTAATTCACGTGCGAGTCACCGTGCTTGCTGCGCCCTGCTGTGTAGCAAACGGTAGACGTCGTCGCAATCGACGGTCGAACTGTTGTGTGTGTTGACGGTTCTGTGTCATGCTTGAGAGAGGGGGAGTTCGTGGTGCCGACTGCTTTTATAAATGCATTCGACACAAGTCAGTACTGGTCGTGTCTAATGGTGTTTTTGTGCACTAGCTGGCGGATAGTGTGACTGGTGGTCTGTGCTGCACTGGCCGAGGGGTGGCGTCTTCAAGGGCGACATGGACGGCTGCGACTGTCTGAGTACGCGCATACGCATGTTTCAGTCAGTCCGATTGTACGAAGGCCAGCTCGTCTGGAACTGCCCGCAGGAAAGATGAATGACCTCGACGCAGCGAAACGTTGAGTAAAAACACTAGACATCGTGTAACGGCCACTGGTTAAGAAGAGGCGGTAAATTTAATCACTTTCCGTTTTTTTCTTACCTAACGACAGCGACTGTGGTCAACGCTTAGGCGATCGACAATTCCGACTACCTTTTT